GAGTTCTTGGTACAAAGTTTTAGCGTTATTCAAATAAGTATAGAAAAACGTCCTGAATTTTCTGTTGCATTTATCAAAAAATCGTTTTCAAAGTCCTTTTTTTCCAAAAAATTTATATCGGAGTGTATATAATTGTTTACACGAAATTGCAGTAAATTTTATCTAGTTTCTGCTAAGCTAACAAAAAAAGTGTCTTTACAAAATCTTTTAGTTATTCAAATATTTAAAAAAAATCAAGACTTATTATATAAGTACATAAATTGTATTGAATACGATAAGAATTATTTTTCATAAAAGAAAATTATTTTATTAAATTATTTTAAAATTAATTTATTGCGTATTGAAACATTTTCGAATAATCATATTTTAAATTCCAAATATTTTCTTAAAATGTTCTTATATTAAATTATAGTCCTTATTGAAAATTTAATTCATATATCCATATTAAAAATATTCAATATCTAAGGAAAAATTGCAATTAAAATTAAAAGTGAATGTAGTAAAATTATATATTTAAAAAATCAAAAAATCATATTACAATATTTTTTATTAATAACTTATATGAAGTTATTTATTTAGAAACAATTGTGTTAATTTCCTTAAATTTTAATATTCTAAAACGCAAAATGTTTATATTTCAAATAGCATAGTTTTTGCTACTTAAAAATATTTACAATCATACATTCACATCCTTGCTAATATTTTGAAGGCTTCAATTTGTCTCAATTGATTTATTAATAAAGTTTCGATTATACTTCGTATAAACATCTACTATATACTTATATATATATATATATATATATATATATATGTATGTATATGTATATATATATATATATATATATATATACATATATCCATATATATTATTATATCGTATGTATAAGACGACGCAGTATCTCTCTATAAAAATAGATTTTAGTTTCTGGAACATGACCTATATAGAATAGGTCGCAGTTTGTAACAGAGTTGCTCCATATCCTGACTAATAAGACCACATTAAGGCTAAAACTATAATAAAACCTTAAAATAGCCTTAACTATTATAATAACTTTGTATTTTACTCTCTATAAAAAATTATACGATCATAGAAAGGACACACGATATGTTTTTAAAATTGTTTATATTTGCGATAGTTTATGTCTAAACTTGTGTTATGAAGCATAATTTATTTTGTTCGACTATTCGGAACGTATTGTGCATTTTTTTCGGGACATTTTTTTAGATAACTCAAAAACTTTGTACCAGCCACTTTTTTCTAGTTAGCTTAACAGAAACTGGATAAAATTTACGACAAATTCGTGTAAAGAGTTATATACACTGCGATATAAAAGTTTTGAATAAAATGATTTTGAAATCGATTTTTTGATAAATGCAATGTAAAATTCGGAACATTTTTCTACACTTATTTGAATAACTCAAAAACTTTGTATCGGGCACTTTATTTTTATTCCCTTAGCATAAACTACATAAAATTTACTTCATATCCCTATAATTTATCACAAACATTTATATACGAAAAATTTACATAAATTAGGTTTGAACTTGCTGCAAGATGTTCAAGTTTGCAATTTGCAATATTCGTAATTTAAACATAAGGTTGTACTCAATTTAATTAAAAAATATTTATAAACATATTATGAGTCATATTTTATCATTTGATATCATGTTGTATATTGTTTTCCTAATAATTACAGTTAGGGGCTAGTTTTTGCCTAAAAGTGCACGCAACCTGGATCGAGGCGTCGTTTTTGGTTAACGTGCAGACATAAAATCTTGGGAAAACTTTCAGTTCAGTTTTTACTCTTAGCTATAAAATTTTAGATAAATTAAATTATCTAAATATCAGTTTATGATGTATTATTTGTTACGTAGTTTAAAAAATATGCAAAAATTAAATATTTAAAATTTTAGAAGGGTGTTTATACAGACGTATACAATTATCTTTGAGTTTTTATTTCATAATTATTTATAACATTTTTTTAATCAATTTTATACATAACATGTTTGTTGCAATAATTGAATTGATAAATTATAATTGGAATTGATAAATTATAATTCTACCTAACATGATAAATATTTGGAATTGTTTATGCAAAATTCGTACAATTTGATTAAACATTTTTTTGCAAGCTTAATAAATTTTTTTTATTTTTTTACAGAATACGACTCGATTTTCAACTACCGAAAATCGAGGCCAAATGACTCCAAATGACCCAAATAGAGGAAGTGGGTCCTTCGGCCTGGACCTAAATTACATCACAGAAAACATTATATCTTTGTCTGCAAAAAGGGGGTTGTAAAGCTAGGGTTCAGGATTTGGCCAAGGCCGATAATATGTTGAGGTAAAAAAATAAATATTTAATTTAAAAATAATAAAAAATAAAAAATTACGCCTAAATTGCTTGCAACTTAAAAAGATCTGTGCAGACTTAAAAAGTTGAAAGAATAACTTTCAGGAGTCATTATTTCTTCTTCTATTTTTTTCAGGGCAAAACATGGGCCAAACTATCTAATATTCGATCTGCAGTCCGAAAACTTTGGCCAGGACCGGAATTCACAATCCTTAGACAATTCTTCAATAGTCCAATGTGGTTGGAAACCAAATTTGAGTCCTGGTTTGGAAAAATTGTGCTCCATTTGCAAACAGTTGGAAAAATGGTTGTCTTCTGATGATAGGAAAATTGCAGTCATATATTCTGGGTAAGAAAAAATTAAAAAAAAAATTGTTAAAATAATATTTAGACTCAAAAATTATAAAAAACACTAAATACTGGTTATTTATAACGATGGGCATGATATAAATGAATTAATTAAATAAAGAAAAATAAAATAAATGTGATGTACAATTTTTTTCTAGGGATGATATTTTGCGTCTAGAATGTGTCCTAAGGGCCTATATGCAATATATATCAATTTGTGGGTCCAGATCGCCCTCAAAAGACAACAGGGACCTGGATTTATATGCAATGCAAAGGTTTTTAGATGACAGGGTCGGATTGGAAGTCACTCCTTCAAACCAAAGGTATCTTTAAAAAGTTTAAAAAGTTGCGAGAAATTGGTTGGCAGTTGCTTAAAAATTGCAAAAAATATTGTTTTTGTTTCAAACTAAAATAAATTGGTTGTTTTTCTAAAAATTCTATAAAACTATTAAACTTGTACTAAAATTTGTATGAAGACTTTTTTTGTTTTCACGACATCAAATTACATTTTTTCATATTACACAAAATGTCCAAGTTTTCAATTTGCGATATACGTAATATAATCATCGGGTTGTACTCGATTTAATTAAAAAATATTTATAATAGTATTATATGTCATATTTTATTATTTGACATCATATTGTAAACAGTTTTTCCAATAAATACAGTTAGGGGCTAGTTTCTACCTAAAAGTGCACGCAACCTGGATCAACCCTTTGTTTTAGGTTAACGTGCACTCGGAAAATCCTGGGAAAACTTTCTGTTCAGTTTTCACTCTTAGCTATAAAATTTTTTATAAATTAAATTATCTAAATATCAGTTTATGGTGTGTTATTTATTATGTAATTTGAAAAATATGCAAAAAGTGAATATTTTACATTTTAGAAGGGTATCTATAAAGACGGATACATTTATCTTTGGTTTTTTATTTTTACTCCAAGATTTCAAATATTTTTGCACATTTAGAATTTGAAGACACTTTGATAAATTGTGTAACTTAAAATATAATATTTTTAAGAAAATTTTTCTACAAAATTTATTTTAAATAATTACATACTTTATTTCTTTAATCCGGTGAATTTTTTTATATTTTACAGTATAACTCCAAATTTTTACTCCAGGTTTAAAAATATTTTAATATAATTGTATAAGTAGATAAATTAGCATAAAGTGGTATATAATATTTTATAAAATTATATGGTTTTAATTTAATATTAATTTTATTCAAATAGTCATTCAAATTAGTATTTATATATAGACACTACCAAAACTTTAAAGCAAGCAATCGGATATTTTTTGATATTTTGTTTGATAATTAAATTAAATTAAATTAAATTTTTACATAAAGCTCCTAAATACTTTTATGTATTCAAAAACATGAATAAATTTGCAATAAAATGGTATATGGTATTAAATAAGTTTATTAATAAAATATGCTTTTAAAATTAATTACAATTAAGTATTTGCATAGACACCAGCAAAACTTTTAAGCAAATCGTTTGGACATTTTTTTATATTCTGTTTGATAACTCAAAAATTTTACTTAAAGCCCCAAAATATTTTTATAATACTTGAATAAACTTATAATAAAATAGTAAATACATTTATTAACAAAATATACCTGTAAAATCATTTACAAAGTATGTATACATCAGCAAATATGCCTATAGCAATATTGTGAAGTAAATTCTGTGTAACTTTGTGGTACTAAAATTTTGTGAAATTAGGCTCTAAATATCCAAATTTATTTTTTTAAATTATCTATAACTATAATAAAATATTTTTTTCTTAGATACGTCAACTATTTTGCCGGTTTGCTATCAGGACAAATAAAAATGAACGCAAAGCCCTTATTTTTGACCCACATTTCCATACCAGGACCTTTAGAACAACATCCTGGACCGTCAAAAATATTTTTCAAAATCTACGAAGGATTAAAACACGTCCACACCACAGGTAAAAGAAAAAAAACTCAACCAAATTATTTAAATAAATATAAATCTAATTTTTCTTATATATTTTTTTTAGGAATTTACCAACCAAACCACCACCATCAACCCTTACAAATAAATACCCACGGTTTACGTCTTCGTGGTGACATTTTAATAAGATGTTACCATGTAAATGGTGACTTTTCAACACAAAATGGTGATTTTGGTTGTAGAAGTCCAAATGGTGACTTTGGTAGAAGACAAAGGTCCTTGTTGTTTTCCTTGCAGTTTCATACTTGTGCTGGAAACAGGACCATGAGGTTGGGGAAACGGGATTTGGACGTCGCTTTTAGAGGTCAGTAAGGGAAATAAAATTTTGGAAAAAATATGGGGGCAAAGATAATTTTATTGGCTTTAAATTTGTCTAATTTTGTGAAGGGGTGAAATTTGGTTTTGGGGTTGAAAAATGCATTTTTGTGCATCCGTGTATGTTAAGTGACAAGTTTGGTGAGGCGAGTATGGATGTTTATTTTAAGGGTCAAAGTATTAGAAAGAAAATTTTGGAAAAAATACAAAGACGTAGATAATTTTATTGGCTTTAAATTTGCTTAATATTTGTGTAAAATTGGTTTTAGTGGTAAGTAGTTTGGTAAAACAGGATTTGAACGTTTTTTTAACCTGAATTGGATGTTTTTTTAAGGATCAGAGTATTAGAAACAAAATTCTGGAAAAAATACAGTGACGTAGATAATTTTATTGGTTTCATATAGTACAGTGACGTAGATAATATATTGGCTTAATATTGTTTTGGCGCTAATTTAGTTTTAGTTGTTTAAAAATGCACTTTTGTGCATCCTTGAAAGTTGGATATTCTCGTCTAAGTAGTTTGGTAAAACCTAATTCGAATGTTTTTTTAAGGGTAAGAGTATAAGACACAAAATTTTGGAAAAATCCAGGGACGTAGATAAATATATTAACTACAAATTTGCTTAATATTGTATTTATTGGAAATTAGTTTTTGTGGTATAAAAATGCTATTTTGTGCACCAAAGTAAATTGGATGCACTCGTGTAAGTAGTTTGGTAAGACGTGATTTAGATGTCTTTTTTAAGAGTCAGATTATTAGTAAGAAAATTTTGGAAAAATACAGGGACGTAGATAATTTTATTGGCTACAAATTTGTATAATATTGTATTTGTGTAAAATTAAATTTTGTTGAATAAAAATGCATTTTTGTGCACCAAAGTAAATTGCATGTACTCGTCTAAGTAGTTTTGTAAAACGTGATTTCGATGTTTTTTTTGAGAGTCAGATTATTAGCAAGAAAATTTTGGAAAAAATACAGGGACGTAGATAAATATATTGGCTACAAATTTGCTTAATATTGTATTTATTGGAAATTAGTTTTTGTGGTATAAAAATGCACTTTTGTGCACCCTTGTAAATTTCGTGTACTCGTGAGACTAGTTTGACAAATCTTGATTTCGATGATGCTTTTAAGGGTTAGTTGAAGACACAAAATTTTGTAAAAAATATACACGTATAGATAATTTTACAGGCTACATTTTCCTAACACCACATTTGTCTAAATTTGCTTTTAGTGCCCCAAAAACACATTTAACATTTAATTTTCTTCACCAGACAAAAGCTTCCCAGAAGATGCTTCTATTATCTTGCATTTTGTTGATGACGTCACTGATGTCCCAAATGAGGAATTTATCAAACATGACGTCACTTTTGAGCCACAATGTGACGTCACAGCCTGGGATTCCATAGAGGACTTGGCTGGATCACCTGTTGATATTTTAGGTAAGTTGAAAATATTTTTTTTAAATATTTAGACTTGTGCAAAATTAAAAATTTTTGCATGAAAAAATACGTTGAAGTATATATATATATATATATATATATATATATATATATATTTATTTATTATATCTATATATATATTTAAATGATATCACATCCACCTACAACTTGTTATAAGTCCATTTTATTAATAAAAGTGATTTATTTTTCAATTAAATATATTAATATATAAGTCCCACATTTAATTTCGCTTATATAACACTTAATAAAATCTTAAAGAACATTTAAAAACAGGGCCGGACTTCAAACTTAATCTAAAAAAATTAAACCAAAGATTTGAGAAAATTCATTAACAAAAATGAGGTGATTTGAAAAATTAATTTTATTAATAAAATTTTGTTTATATTATTTTATATAGTCATAATTAAATTTTATATTAATTCTGCATTTTTAAAAAAATATATGCAATTGTATTATTAAATAAATATTTGGATTTTTTATAAATATTTAAAGTTAGTTGTATTAAATTTATATTTATTCATTACTAAGTATATTTATTTATTTATGTACATTTTTTTAATAATTTTTAAATATGTATATTGGTATATATATTTTTTTTATTAATATTAAAAACTACGAGTAATTAAATATTTGTTAATTTAACAAAATTCAATTAATTATTTTGTTCTTGATTTTTCAAACAAATTTTACGTTCGAATTTAAATTCAGAGCTTTTGTTTATATTTTTTGTTTGTTTGATATTTTTAATATATTCTAATAATTCTAATTAATTCATAATTAATTTTATTATATATATCTAACTACCTGTTAATATATTTTGCACTAAATCAGCGTTTTTATATATTTTTTTAATTTTATAAAAATAATGAGCATAAATTATCTTTAACGTGGGACACTTCTGGTTAAAAAATTAAATTTTGAGTTTCTAAATTGTTTAAACATTTATTTCATATTTTTAAAATTTACATTAAACATAAATCTTACTTTTTATAAACAAATTTTTATTAAAATTTATGTTTTTATCGATTTATTTATTATAAATTCGATTCTGTTCATACGCCAAGTTGACATTGCCAAGTGTTAATTATTTGAACTTCGGAAATACATATTAAAAGTGATTTATCATTGGAGATCAAAGTAAGGTTGTTTCAAATAATTTAATACAAGTTGCCAAATTATGCGCAGAATTATAATTATTTTTAGATATTTCGTAAAGAATCATTTTTTATGAATTATTGAGATACAAGAAATATATGCAATTTATATCCTATTCCTTTATTTCGTAGACTAATTATTTAAAATCTATTTTTATATTTTTTACGTATTTGAGTTCTATTTTATATACAAATCATTTAAAAATATCAAAAATCTAATTATCTTATAAGCTTTCGTTTATTATAATTTAATTTTTTTGTGGAAGTTTTATTCCAATTAATAACAATTATTAAGAATTTGTCTAAAGAAATATAATGTAAATATGTTAGGTTTAATTTTTTAAATAAAGTTAACTTAAATAATCAAATTTAAACTCATATTTGTTTTTTATAAATATTTGAACAGAGCAAAATTTTCTATGATTTTCCAAATGAATTTATATTTATTCTAATATTTCTAATTCTTCTGTTTTAACGTTGGCAGCTACTGTATATATATGTATATATATATATATATATATATGTATATATATATATATATATATATATATATATAATTATTTGGCCAGTTATAATGCATTTATTATTTTTCTGTTAGTCTTAAATTAGATTCTGAACAAATCGCAATATATTCGATTTATATATATATATATATATATATGTATATATAAAAATATGAATTTTTTCATAATAATATTAGTGACAATAATTT